CGACAGAGTGCTTGCAGCCATAAGGCTGGTTAATCTCTTGAAGGCCCTCCCCATTTTTAATTTTAAATATTTGTGTTGTAATCTATGTTTGCATTATAGTATTTAGTTTTCATATTTTTATATCTTATTTTTACACACATACCCAGGTTCACTGTGAGGGAGATAGGCACTTTCTAAATGAGATGGATGGATGGATAGTAGATAGATTAGACATAGAACAGGGGTCCCCAACCCCCGGTCCGTGGATCGGCACCAGGCTGTGGCATACCAGCAACCGGGCCGCGCAAACAAGTGAAGCCCCATCCACTGGATGCAGGCAGCACATGAAACCAGGCCCCCTCTGGTCTGTGGGAAAATCTTTCCCCATGGAACCGGTCCCTGGTGCCCAAAAAGTTGGGGGCCTCTGATATAGAAGATAGTGAACCTCGAGCGAGTGAGAATCGAACCACTGGCAGTCGGCAAAATTAGCCTGCAATACTGCATTCTATCCCCCACAGCACCAGGGCTCTTAAAGATGGATGGATGACAGAGAAGGCACTGCCAGTTCCAAGGCATTTGCATTGACAGCCCCACCCCAATGCCAAGATCTGCCTTTTGAGAAGGATTCAGAGGGGCAGCACGGGCACCGTCTAAGCCCTGCCGCCCCAGGCCAGGCCTTCCTAAGCCTTGGGGCCAAGCTGGGCCTTGGGCTAACGCTGAGGAGTCAGAATCCCACAGATTATTGGGTAAGAAAACTGGTCCAGCCGGGTGGCCCTTTAGTTCACTTTCTGGGTTGGCTTTCAAATGGACGTGCTTCTCTTTTCCCAGCGCCGAATCCTTCTTGGCCAAATGTTTATTTTATTAATTAAATTAATATGCTGCTCATTATTTACCTGTTTATTAAATTTATATGCCACCCATTTCTGAAAAGAAACTCTTTTGTGTTATTTATGTTTGTTTAGGAAACGCTGTTCTTGTGCCACGAGGGCAACCAGCAACCCCTGTAATTATTCTTCTCGGAGTATTCACAATTTTTGTCTCCCCCACACACCTTGCACCAACACATCTTATCCTATGTTCTATGCAGCTAGTCCTCAATTTACCACCACAACTGAGCCCCAATTTATTTTTTTTAGAATATAAAACTAGAAAATCAATAAAATTTCTGAGCCCAAAATTTCTATTGTTAAGTGAGTTTGGCTCCATTTTACAACCTTTCTTGGCAGTTATTGAGTGAATCACCACAGTTGTTAAGTTGGTAACACGGTTGTTAAGTGAATCTGGCTCCCCCCATTGACTTGGCTTCTTAGAAGGTTGCAAAAGAGGCTCAAGTGACCCCCAGGACACTGCAACCCTCACAAATAGGAGTCAGTTACCAAGTCATTTATCATGTGACCACCACGGGGACGCTGCAACAGTCGCAAGTGTAAAAAATGGTCCTAAGTCACTATTTTCAACGCCATTGCAATTTCCAACAGTCACTGAATGGAATGTTGTAAACCGAGGATTACCCGGATTGCAAATTCGGGGGGGGGAGAGAGAGAGGAGGAGAAGGAAGGCGGGAGGGGCTCCCCGGTTCTGGTGGCGCGGCGTTCCGCGGGCCAGGCGGGCGCGCCCCAGCGAGGCAGGAAAGGAGGGGGCGGGGGACGGCAGGGGCGGGGCCGCGCGTGGGGGCGGGGCCTGCGGCCCGAGCCCTTCCGGCCTGGCGCGGCCTAGTCCCGCGGAGAGCGCCAGCCGCCGCCCGGGGATGCTCCTGCTGGCCCTGGGCGACCCCGGGATGGAGCCGGCCCGGCCCGCGCTGGTCATCCGCATCCGCATCCCGGACGGCGGCGGCGCCGTGGACTGGACGGTGCACCCCGCCCCGCAGCTGCTCTTCCGCGACGTGCTGGTGAGGGTCGGGCGGGGGGTCCGGGGGGGGTCTGCCCTGCGCCGCGCGGGGCCTCCCCCCCGCCGGGTCCCCGAGCAGCGTTTGGGCCTGGGGTGGGGGGTGGGGTGGCTGCGGCCCCCTCGGAGGCCCGGCCGGAGAGCCCCGCGGTGGGTTGGCGCCGCCCTCCGGTCTTGGGGGCCAGCCTGCCTGCCTGCCTGCCTGCCTCTGCGGGACCCTGCGCGGATTGTGGGGCCCGGTTGCCGGAAGGGACCCCCAATCTGCCCCGGAGCCCTCGCCTTGCTGGGAGGCGCCTCCCTTCTGGAACGGGACCTGAGTCGTTCTCGGGCGCCGGGCTGGGCCTCGGATTCTTAAATGCTTCCCCCCCCCCGACTCTCAGCCGCAGATTACCCTCCCGCCGCGAGTGGAAAGATTACGGCGTGAACCGATAGGACACAGAACAGTAGAGTTGGAAGGGACCGTGGAGGCTATCTAGTCCAACCCCCTGCTGTGTCCTATATCATTTCAGAGCAGTGGCCATCCAGTCTTCCCAGTGTTTATAGGCGCAGCGGGTGGCGCTTAGGAAATCTGCAGAATGTTGATCTGTCAGTTGCAAAAGGCCCACCTGGCTTGGATTCCCACATGTGTCAGTAACATCCCAGGTTCGTGTGAATAGAGCAGCTACAGGCCTGGTGGCTGTGACCTTGCATCCTTGTGAACAGACAATAATAATATCCTGCGCATGCCTGGCTCTGCCTTGAATTTTATTTATGTATAGCTACTTATTTAAAAGGTTTATATAGCCACCTATGGTAAGGGTTAGGGTGAGGGTTAACTCTGGGCACCTGTCAGCAATAATGAAACGGTAAAAAGAAAAATTAAACCAAGATCCCCCAAAGCCCCCAAGAGCCTCAGTCATCTCCTAGGATGCTCCAACAGCCTTCCTTGGGGGGAAGTGTTCTACAGCAGGGGTCCCCAACCCCCGGGACATGGCCCATTACTGGGCCTTGAGCCCTTTGCAACTGGGCCGTGGAAGTGGCTGGGGAGCATACGTGTACGTGCGTCCCCACTTGCACAAGCAGCAGGCAAGCGTGGGCGCGCACACACTCCATTTGCAAATGGAGCTGCGTGTGCATGCTCTTGCCCACCGCTCGTGTGGAACCATCCCCTCTTCACCTCCCCCCCCCCCCCCCCGGTCAGCAAAGCCAGAAAGGTCTCTGTTCTACGGGGCAAGAGCAGCCATAGAAAAGGGCCCCTTCTGAGGTCTCACTGATGTCCACATTCCAGGGAGGGGACCTGGAGAACGCCTGCCCTATGCAGTCTGGTGGGATGGGCAGATTCCCTCAGGGACATTAGCATTAAACCACAGGACTTCTAATGCATTCGGGGCTGCATTTAGTGGTGGGTTCAGGAGGAGTGAGCAGAAGATTTGGCTCTTTCAGGGGTTGAACGTCAACCTGCTTTAATCGGCTTTCAGGTTTTTGTCCCATTTATGTTCCTTTCTCTTCTGCCACTTTTTCAAGGCAGCCTTGACATGTGCACAAAATTGACTGTGTACGTCACTCCCGAGCATGGGTTCTCAGTAATAGATGTCAGAGCCCTGCAGAGGTCTTGGAAGGGATCATTTAAAATCATTGCCCGCTGGTCAGGCAGATGGGTTTTTTTCCTACAATTAGGGTAACACTGAATGAAAGAAAGGGAAGAATATACATATATGTGTTAGTTCTGAAATTATATTATGTTGTTACTTGGGGTTTGCTGGCTGCTCCTTTAACCTATTGATTCACGCGGGAAACCCTCAGATCCTGCCTTCTGTGCCTGCTGTCAGCTTTCCTAATGGGATGAATCTGTTCCAAGAATTCTGCTTTCTTGGGATGAGGTTTTGAAGTGGATCCTTACAGCCATATTGGGTTATTCATTAAAACCATTCCCAGCTCATTTCCTCGTTGAAATTAACTTCAGATTGACAATACAGGTGGTCCTCAACTTACAACCACAGTTGGACCTAGAATTTCCATTGCTGAGCAAATGGGTTAAGTGAGTCACATCCGACTTTATAACCTTTTGGGGTCATGGTTGTTTAGCGAATCCAGCTTCCCCCATTGACTTTGCTTGTTGGAAGCTAGTTGGGAAGGTCACAGATGGCGATCGGGTGACCCAGGGTGCTGCAACCATCATAAACACCCACACCCACGTTTTGATCATGGTAACCATGGGGATGCTGCAGTGGTCATAAGTGCAAGGAGTTTTTCAATGCCCTTGTATCTTTGAACAGTCTCTAAATGAATGGTTATAAGTCAAGGACTACCTGTGCCGGACCTTTAATATTGTATTGGAGTATTGTTAGATTATGCATGTATGTACGTATGTATTAAATCTGTATGCTGCCTATCTCACTGATAAAGCGACTGTTGGTTGGCGGGATGGATTTTCAAAGGGTGCCCCATTTCTGGAAAGCATTTGGCATCTGCAAACTTGGCTAAATGCAGAAGAGCAATGGACATTGGAGTAATAGAGCACTCAGCCTCAGCAACTTTAAGATGTATGGACCTCAGCCTCCAGAATTCCGAGGTCCACCCGTCTTAAAGTTACTGAGGTTGAGGAACACTGGAGTAGAAAGTGCTGCTGGAGAGGCAGAGCCCAATGAATAGAAAAGACCACAGAGGTCTCCTTCTTTCCCTCTTACTTTAGAGCAGAGGTGGGGAGCTGTGACCCTGATTTGTGGACTTCAACTTCCAGAATTCCTGAGCCAGTATGGCTGGCTTAGGAATTCTGGGAGTTGAAGTCCACAAATCATAATAGGGCCATAGTTCCCAAGAGGGTTTATGAAAAAGACTGGAGTTTTCATAGCCAGCAGTCGCCTACGTCAGATGGAAACTGCATGATAGGCAAATAAACTGAGTTTGCAAACACTCCACTGAGAGCTGCTGCTCTACATCAGCCGAGTAACAACTCTGGGTGGTAAAGAGAGGCATTTTTCAATCCTACACAAGGGTCTCTTCCAAGTATGAAATATGTGTGGCTTCACTTCTGCTTTCAGCAGCCGGAGTTAACATGCTAGGAAAAGCTGAATATTAATTATTCTGTAAAAAGTCTTCCATTACGAGTATAACTAACGGCCTTCATTTTTAATGTTACAGGACGTAATCAGTCAGGTTCTTCCTGATGCAACGACAACAGCTTTTGAATGTGAGTATTGCTTGCCAGAGAGACGGGCGGGTGGGGGGCAGTTTATATTTGCATCATTTATTTAAAACAGTGACAACTACATCTTGTTTATGTTCAGATATCTTACAGTTAAATATTTATACACAGATGCAAGTTTAATGATAAACCTTAGCTAAGTAATATTTTATTATTTAATCACATCTTGAGAGCACATATTTCTACCATATAGCTTTAATTACCATCCTGACCTTACTATGCTCTTTGGACGCACTGCAATTATATTGCTCAAATTAAATGAAAAATATAAAGTACCTGGAGGCTTTGTGTGCTGAGATTTTAATTTTCAGATTTGTAGGATTAAAAGCAGAAATCAGCTAGATGGCCTTTGAGGGAATCGGACTTTTGTGTATACGACACTAAATTGGTTATGGACTCGTTACCTTCTCTGGAGATGGGGAACCCATCACTGTCTCCATGGCAGAAGGTTGGAGGGCAGCTCAAGGCTTGGAAGGTTTAACCCTGGGCTTTCCTGGTGTTCAGGCCCTTGAAGTTATCTGCAGTTCAGCAACTGGGAGCGTTAAGGACAGACCTCTCCGTTTTTATTATGCGGGAACAATGCTGGCCTGTGAATGTAGGCTGTATTGCTATTATCCTTCTCATCTTCTCATCTTTCTTACCTTCTCATGTTTCCTACTATCTTCTTCTATTGGTATCTTATGATTTATCCCTTGTTGTTTGTATCTTGTGATTAATGATTTTAACTATGATTTATGATCTGTGACCTATCACTTTGTATGTACACTGAGAGCTCATGCACCAGAGACAAATTCCTTGGGTGTCCAATCACACTTGACCAATAAAGAATTCTATTCTATTCTAAGACCACACCTGGAATACTGCAACCAATTTTGGTCACCACGCTACAAAAAAGATGTTGAAACTTTGGAGAAAATTCAGAGAAGAGCAACTAAGAATATCAAAGGCCTGGAGACTAAAGCATATGAAAGAAGATTGCAGGAATTGAGTTTGGCTAGTATAAAGAAAAGAAGAAATAAGGGAGACGTGATAGCAGTATTCCAGTATTTGAGGGGCTGCCACAAAGAAGAGGGGGTCAAATTATTCTCCAAAGCACCAGAGGGCAGGACAAGAAACAATGGCTGGAAACTGATCAAAGAGGGAAGCAACCTGGAATTAAGGAAAAACTTCCTGACAGCGAGGACAATTAACCAATGGAATAGCTTGCCTTCAGAAATCGTGGGTGCTCCATCACTGGAGGTTTTTAAGAAGAGACTAGACCAGGGGTAGGCAACCTTGGCTCTTTTATGACTCGTGGACTTCAACTCCCAGAATTTCTGAGCCAGCATGGCTGGTTCAGGAATTCTGGGAGTTGAAGTCCACGAGTCATAAAAGAGCCAAGGTTGCCTACCCCTGGACTAGACAGTCACTTGTCTGAAAAGATACAGGTTCTCCTACTTGAGCAGAGGCTGGACTAGAAGACCTCCAAGGTCTCTTCCAGATTCTAGTCTAGTCCAGTCCATTCCCCATCCCCATTCCATTCTATTATTTCGTAATCCTCTCCTCTCTTCCCCTCCCCTCTCCTCCCCTCCCCTCTGCTCTTACAAAATCTTCATCATCATCGTCTTCCTAGCGCCCACAGGTGCAAGGTGTGTTTTTTGGATCAACGAACGCCATCTTGCATGATCAGATGCAGCCTCTGGATCCAACTGGGCAATGTTCATGTCTGCATTTATTGTGTCTTGCCATCTTTGCTCTGTCCATCCACTCGGGCACTTGCCATCTGTGTTAAAGCGGCAGGCAATGCAGTGTGGGGTACTGCTTATAGGACATTGCCATACCACTGTAGGCTTTTCTCCGGCATTTTCTCCGGCATTGGCACAATGCCCAGTTGCTGCTCTGCTGTGTGATTGCTGACATGGTCAAGAGAAGCAGCTAACGACCAAAGGAGCAGATGCACCTTCATGGCATGTAAAAGGCCCTCAATGCATTTGGTGCTGGGCCAGCACTCAGCGCCATATAAAACTACGCTATATAAAACATTGTTTTATACACCTTTGATTTTAGATAGACTGTCTTATGAGATCATCATACAAAAACATTGTCTATAATGTGACCATTTTGGCACCCCTCCCCAAATTGGAGTTATAGAGTTCAAGGTGGCTGGGCTCAAAATCTCCTCCATGGCCGTTTGTGTCTCAGCCGACCTCTCCCCACCAGCCATGAGCATCGATTCCGGTCCAGGGACGCCCTTGGCAGAACCTGCCTTCAAGAAATGTGGGTTTCATGGCTTCTCTCTCGACACCGGCTGCTGTGCTTTCCGGTTCTTGAATTAGCTTGTCATTTTGCATCAGCGTGACATTGTTTCTCCTGCCACTTAAGTGCATCAAAAATATGTTAATGTGTATTGATGCTGTTGGTTTCTAGGTTATCTTCTCCCTAATGAAAGCCTGAAATTTCCTCGGCTTAAGTATCTTCTCAGCTACTTGATGGCTTTCTTGGAGGCAGTTAATTGCTATCCACAGCGGCTTCCTCTCCCGTTTGCTTAGTTATTGCTATCTCCGGTGTGTCTTCTGTGGCTGCCTCTACCTGGGGCTGTATTCTCCGTTGCCACTGGACCTTGTTGTACGCCATGTTGCTACAAATAAAACAACTAACGACATATGGCTCGTTATGGTCCTTTTATCCCAAACCGTTTTGCGCGTGCCCGGCACACGGCGTCTTTTGCAAAAATTGCTGTGGAATATTTGGTTGCCATCTGCTGCCTTCTATTTGGTGCCTTGCGAGGAGGAGGTGACACTAGCAAAATCTAGGCTTTGTTTAGTTCTACTTTTGCTTCCCTAATGGACTGGAAGATCGTGTTTTTTGCGCTCTAGGCGAGGAGAGGGGCTCGCCAAGCCCCTTTTGAACCTTTGTGTTCTGCAGAATCGCTTGAACGGGGCTCCGTGTGTTCCTCCCGGCGGGACGGGTGAGCAGCCTCCCTCCTTAGTCAGAGAAATACAGAGCCTGAAAGAGCCTGTGTCCCTCCCACCAGACAACAGATGATGATGCTCCTCTCTCTTAGGGAGCTGCGGTGTCTTTTCCGCCACCTGCTTTGTCCCCAAATGGGCGCCCTGTAAGAACAGGGAAGACACTTCAGTTCACCTGAGAATTTCCAAAGTTGTGTAGCTTTTAGAGCTAATCTTCTGTAATGAGGTGCTTTCTCAATGGCGTTTATTTGTGAGCTTTGCAAATTGTGGCCTTTTACTACAAAATACTCCTTCCAGGTATCTGTTTTAAATTCCTCCTATTCTCTTGATTATTCTGGTTTTTTTATTAGCTTTTTTTCATTTAGAGTCAGATTGTGTTTAGAATTTTCTTAGCAGTTACTATTCTAATGACTTCTACTGGAGACACAAGAATTATGTTTGTTTATGAAGTGAGAAGCCTGGTGCTCCTCCTGGGGAGATGAAGACGGTGATGGGACGGAGACCCAGTAATTCACTCAGGCTGCCCCTACCTGCCGTGGTGGGGCTGGTGCCACTGCCACTGTGCCACCCTCTGTGCAGGTGGACGTTGGAGAGTAACATAAACTGGAAGGAGATCAGCAAGAGGCCTGCTCCAGGGAAAGGGGGAGCTACAGCCTGAACTTACTTGGTTTGTTTGTTTGTTTGTCACATTTAGAAACTGCCCATCTCCCTCATAGGGTGGTTCTGGGCAGTGTACAAGTAAAAATATAAGAGCTATATATAAATATTACTATAGGCAGTTAAAACGAATAAAATAATTAAAAATTATTTTAAGCAAAGGAAGGGCTTCAGAGTGCCCGTGGCTGCCTGCTCCTCTCTGGGCCCCGAGTGAGATGGCAGAGCCAGGTCTTCAGGCTAGGAAACTGGGCCAGGAGATTAGGGGCCCACCTCGCCCCTGGGAGGGCAGGGTTCCCCGGGGGGAGGGGGGCAGTGGCAGAGAAGGTTCTCTTCTTGGACCTGCCAGTCAGAATTGATGGGTCTGCGGCATTCCTTCCCTGCATGACCCACTGGGACAGGACACAGTTCCACAGGGAACCGGCCCCAGGCCATGTAGGGCTTTAAAGGTGATAGCCAATGCTTTGAATTGGATCCAGAAGCAACCTGGCACCCAGTGCAGCTTGTGCAGCAGTTGTGAAGCCCCTTCCCATTATATCATCAGATGATTTCTGTAGCGTGACCTGGCCCCAGAGTTGAGTCCATGGAGAGGATCTGAAGCCACGCTAGACCCCTTTGCATGCTTTGTTCTCTCTCTTTCACATCTGCCCAACTAGTCGCCCTGACTTGAAATTAAGACAAAACCAGTGTGTGTTCCTATTCTTTGGCCCTCGGTTGTTCACGTTTTCAAAGTTCCTCCACGTCTGTCAAATATGTGATCATCTTTTAAACCCGGCAAATTTTAATATGCAGACTTTTATTTTATACAGATGAAGATGAGGATGGCGATCGGATTACTGTTCGCAGCGATGAAGAAATGAAAGCTATGTTGTCCTATGTAGGTATATATTCAATAAAGTGGATTAACTAAGTTACTGACTGCTAGCCAGCATCACTCAAAATGCGGAGTTGAGTGAGGAGAGTCTAGGACAGCTCACCAGAGCCAGCTCACCCCAGGATGTCTGACCCCGGGACAGCCCCCCGCGGGACAAGGCTTACACTAATGTCAGGAAATGGTGGAATAGGATCATTGAAGAAAGGGTGCCGAAGGAGGGACAGAATGAAATAGGAATGACAAAAATTTAAATAATGTTTTAAATATTTTTAAAATAATTAAATAGAATTGTTGAATTTCCCGCAGTGAGCTGGCCATGGCAAGTTGTCCCCTTCCAGACTGAGACAGCCGCAGGAACGTGCGGCCAGGGCGACTGGGCAGAATCCTGGAGTGTCCCAGTTTGCTGTTGCTTCCCCACTTCAGACCCTCCCATAGAACTTACGCTTAGTGATAGCAGCAGATTAAGACACAAACATTAGAATTTGTTTTTTTGTTGTTGTGTATTTTTGTTTTGATATTTTTATCATCTTGGTTGAACAAGTTGGGGCTGGGACTTTGTACGAAATGTTGAAGTATTCTTTTTGTTGGAAAACCAGTGAATAATATACTTACAGATCTTGTTGTGAACATTAAGAATAACATATCCCAAAGACTTTTGCATTAGATGTAGTGCAGGCTAAATGGACTATCAATTTCTTCTATTTTTTTATGCATTACTTAAAGTAACGGCTCATTAAAAATGAACCCTTCAGCTCTTTAAAAAAATTTAAAAACAAAATCTGCTTTCATCTGGATCCCTTTCACCCCTTCTCTCAGAAGAGTTATATTTTAGCTGCAGGCCAGGCATGCTGAGAAGATTTTAAAGTGCGTTGTCTTTTAATAATGACAGTAAAAATAGGAAGGCTGCAGTGCTTATGTATATCTTTATAAACGGCCTGCCCTTTATGCTTTATAAATAGGTAGGCATTTAGATATTCTCGTTTCTTTTCAATTATAGGTAGACTTGACTTACAACCTAATTGGGCCCGGAATTACAGTTGTAGGTCGAGTCAGTCATAAAGCGGGTCACCATGTGACTGACCAGATTTTATGACATTTTTGTGGCAGTCATTAAGCGATCAACACAGTTGTTAAGCAAAGCTATTGTTTGCAACGGGCACTTTTTTGCCTGAAACTGGAAAGAAATGCCAGTTTCTGGCAAAACCCATCATAAATTGTGGTTGTGTGATCTTGGGAGACTGAACAGCCTTAAATGTGGACTGGTTGCTGAGCACCTAAAGTGCATTCATGTGACCAATGGGGCTGGATGCCAGAACTTCAAATCCATGTCATATGTACATTTTGGGGGAGGGGTCCATTGTAACTCTGAACATTCGCTAAGCAACCGGTCATTAAGTGAGGACTCCCTATAAAGCACAGCGATAGGAGCCTCCTCTTTTGGTCCTTCTGAATTGAGGTATGGATTGACCGAGTCCTTCAAGGAGACCTATTTCACTGTACCTTGTGGCCCAGCATCTTGCACGAGAGATGTCCACACACAAAGCTTCAGTGCCACAACGCTCCCTTGTTTCAGTAGAGCAGTGGCCCCCAACCTGTTTGGCATCATTTGACCAGTTCCACGGAAGACCATTTTTCCACGGACCTGGGGGGAGGGGTTTCGGTTTCACTCGCTCGCCTCCAGCTGTGTGGCTCGGCTCCTCACAGGCCACAGAGCGGTACTGGGAATTGGAGACCCCTGCAGTAAAGGACATCTCCTAAGGAAACTTTCCACAGATGCAAATACAGTAGGAAAATTTGGCCAACCAAAACTCTCAGTGCCCTGGGTTCAACCCCAGCTCCACCCAGATCTTTCCTTTCTGTGCACTCCCTGGACTGTACACTTCTTTTGGCAGAGTTTCCAACATGGGCAACTTTAAGATTTGTGGACTTCAACTCCCAAGATTCCCCAGCCGACATAGCTGGTTGCAGAATCCTGGGAGTTGAAGTCTACAAATCTTAAAGGTCCTTACGTTGGGAAACGCTACTATTGAGACGGAGGGAGTAATTTTGAGGGTGGCGTGGGAATTTGCCCTTCAGATGGATGCTTGTTTTCATCTGAGCAGCCCCATTTAAACAAGCCCATTTTACCAGTGGAAGGGATGTGTTGGAATGAGTTCATCCTAGCTGGCGTGCAAAGCTCTGTTCGCTTTAATGGGCTTGGAGAGGGCCCAGAAGCCTCAAGAACTGGCCCCAGAGAGCGTCTGAAACAGGGCCAGCTTATGTTGCCTCTGGTGCTTCCCAGAGGGCTGCACAGCCCACGGAGAAAAAGCCCTTTCGAATCCTGTTCCTTTTTGATGGAGGGTTATTGTTGATCTTCTCCACCCCTTGCCTTCTTATTCCAGTCTAAACACGTGTGCAGGCAGTCTTGGCTTACCATCACAATGGAGCCCCAGATTTCTGTTGCTAAGTGAAATATTTGTTAAGTGAATTTTGCCCCATTTTAAGACCTATCTTGCCACAGTTGTTAAGTGAATCACTGCAGTCGTTAACTTAGTAACATGGTTGTTAAGTGAATCTGGCTTCCCCATTGACCTTGCTTGTCAGAAGGTCTCAAAAGATGATCGCACAACCCCGGGGGACTCTGCAACTGTCATAAATATGAGCCTGATGCCAGGTGCCCAAATTTTGACCACATGATCCCGGAGGTGCTGCAATGGTCGGAAGTGTGAAAAGTGGTCATAAGTCACTTTTTTCAGTGCTGTTGTAACTTTGAACAGTCACTAAACGAATTATTGTAAGTCAAGGACTGCCTGTATTTTGGGGACTGATTTCAAACAAGTGATACCTGGGTCTTTCTTGCTGCAGTTATTCTCTTTTAATTGAGAAGTAGTGTGGTAGTTTTACTGTGTAACACTTACTATAACCATTTTATAGTATTTGAAAATGTTTAAATGTTTAGAAAAAAGAAACATATCCAGAATGATGCATACTCAGAAATAAAGTCTTCTCTTTTTCATGAGATGAAATGTCAGAAGTATTTCAAAAGGTATCTTTATAATTGTTTAGATGCCCCACAACAGCAAGATAAGGTTGATGGCGTTTCTTTCTCGGTGTGGGTGTGTGGAGAGATGCGTGGATAGGATCTGCAAGAGAATATTTTCATTTGTGAGATACACTTTACAATTTGGCGTCTCTGCAACGCCTCTACATTTCTGAGGTCTTCATGTTTTTCTTTAGGAGCTCTTCAAAGCATCCAACTGACCATTGTTGGAAAAATATTTAATGAAGGAGGATATTTAATTTATTCAGTTTTAATTTATATCAGGTTTTTTCTCAGTTTTGCTTTGGAACTATGGGTTGTCCTTGACTTACGATCGGCTGCTTAGTGACCGTTCAAACTTATGACAGACCCTCCAAAAGGTACTTGAAACATGGATTTGTCACATGACTTGCAGTTTGGGCGCTTGGCCGCTGGCGTGATCACGTTAACAGCCATTTGCAGTGTCTTGCGGTCACATGACCACAATTTACGATATTTTTTTGCCGGAAATCTTTCGACCGCTTCGGAAGATGTAACTCATGATCTCCTGCTCCCTAGCCTGGTGCCTCAACCGCCAGACCACAGACTGGCTCTCGGTTCTCCTGTAAGACCAGTTACAGATGGCATGAAACCAGAACGCATTTTCAGAAGCTGTAATCTGAAATAGAAAGAAATACACCTTTTCTTAAGAGTTTTCAGACCTGAGTGAAATAATTCCTAGAATGTTGCTGTGTTATCATTGATGCAAATTACTATAAAGATGAAATTGAAGGTCAGTTTTTAATTGAAAAATGAGTGATAGGTTGTCATTCTTGAATCCCTCTGTCATCAGAGATTGTTATTTTCACTGAAACCTTCTCTCCCTTGAGTTACTTCTAAACTTTCCCATCAGCACCATGACTAAACACTTAACTGGGTGAGATGGACACTGAGGTTTATTAATTGCACATTTTATTCATAGAAAAATAATCCAAAGGGCTTCCCTGCCTTTCTCTTTGTTAATTAAAAAAGAGCCATTAAGTGACACCAGAGCTAGTCTACAGTTGTTGTCTTCTATGGGTAAAGAAAGGCAGTAATTTTTTTGACAGCCACTGATTGGAAAGTTGCTTGCAGCCATCTGGAAGCAAAGGGGACACGTTTTGGATCAATAACTGGCAAATTTTCCATTAAAAAGAATACCTGAAGAGTGTTCCAAATAGCCCCTGGCATCTTAACTTTCCATGGCAACCCCAAGTGCTGAGATGTGGAGGACAAATCATTTTTGGACCATTTTTCCAGACTACTTGTTAACAGTTATTGCTGTCCCAAAAGGTTGACAGCTGACATGATTGATATTTCATTTACTTGTCATCTCCGTTTGAGTAATGGAGAAGGCCATTCTTTTTTTATTATTATTATTTTTAAAGAAACAAAGAGCAAAATCTACTCAGCGCCTCTCTGGAGTCAATCCCAGGAAAATGAGTCAGAGTCGTATAAGAATCTGCTTCTGCAGCTGAAACTCGGCTTTGGAGCACAGCTTTGATGTCATGTTTTCAACTCTTGGTAGTTTCCTTTTGTGCCTCCAGGCTGATGCTAGAGCAAAAGACAAGCAGAGCCTTGCAGACAGATAGAGAGGACTCAGCTGGGTCAAGCCACAGCTTCTCGCCTTATTTAGAAGGAAGGATTGTCTTGCAAGATCAAGCTGAAAGTTCATTTAGTTCTGCATTCTGTTGTCTTTAGATCAGGGATGTCTAACCGTGGCAACTTTAAGATTTGTGGACTTCAACTCCCAGAATTCCCCAGCCAGCCATGTTAAACTTTAACAACAATTAATAAGGACAGTCACATGTTTTGGCTAGATAGATATTCCATTGAGAAGTTTTGCAACCAGCTGGGCTTCATCTCTAGGGTCAGTGCAAAAGGTCTGCAGAACAGTCTTCCAGTAAACTACTAGAATTCCACAATATTTTCTAGCAGGATGTTCCAATCTGTCTCAAGAATCTGTCTTTCACCGCTAAGTATCAGTGAGGTTCTCCATGGGTGACCTAGAACTATGGCCTATTTTGTAGTATAATTGTATTGGTATAAAATTAATATCTCATCATAGTGATTTGAGATTCACATCTTCACCCATGCTAACATATTATGAAAGGAACATGCATGATGTGCAGTTTCTGGAAATATCCAGTCTATTTCTCCTTCTGGAATCCTGACTAATGGTAGACTTTCAGAAGGAACTGCTGTTGATTCTTTAAGCATGGCCAAAGGTCAAAGACTGTAGGATCTGTACTCCTAATTTTCTGCTGGGATATGGAAGGATTCATCTAAAGGGCACATCATCCACGACTGACGGTCTGAATCTAATTTCGGTGCTCTTTATTGAGTGGAAAGCTTTTGTTTCTGTAACCAAAGTCAATCAGTGTTAACTCAGAACAAATATCTGCCTGCCTTGGACTGGGCAGAGGGAAGCCAGATACCCGAGTGGTGTTTGGATTGGAGGAACTGCAGGCTGTTCATGCCTGGCTGAGCAGAGATATTTGACAGCTGCAGCAACCACGGAAGAGAACTACCTGGAGTCCAGAGTTTGCTATTTGGGGGCCAAGTCGCCATATTGGTAACTTTTGAAGGCAGATAAATACAGAGGAAGGGAAGTGAACGTTGTGATATATTGTGTGCATGCCAACCTGTGAGGGAGATCTGAGAACGTTCAACAGCAGATAGATGTTTAACAGCCACTTTTTCAAGCATATGATTGGTTGCCTCTAATATAACTATTCTGGAGTTGGTGAATTGAACAAAATACACAAACTTGCTTGCCATTCTTATCTATTTTTTTCAGTACTATACAACTGTAATGGAGCAGCAGGGAAATGGAGAGCTGATCGTGCCCCTGCAGATCTACCCAAGAGGTAATTTTGCATGGCTTCTAACACCTACCAATGTTCCTTCAGGTCTTCTATTTTCTAGAGGTTCAAAGACAGATAATTCTACAGTTTGGTCTTAAGTTCGGGTTGAGAAATCTATTCTTTGAGTTTAGCTGCAGTTGTTTTTCCAAAGCAAACCAGGATAACAGAAATTATAGTTTGCACGGCACAACTTATGGACGTTTAAAAGTTCAGTGTGGCTGTATGCACAGGCCTCCTCCAAGCCACAAATAGTGCAATAAATCAGTTGAAATACCTCAAAACTAAACTATTCCCCTGCATAAATAATCATGCTGCAAGCTTTCCAATTAAAACATTATAGACTTTTCATTACTTATAACTCTCCATTTTGAATTGAGCAATTAACCGACAGGTTTCCTAGCAAAGCTGATCAGGGTTAGAAAGAGGGCAGCAGTTTGAAGATGGAATTCTCCTGTGTGAAAAAGGATGCATTTAGAACAGAAATAAGTCAGTTTCCCTCTTGCATACAAACATTTCTTGCTCACATGTACATATAATGCTGATTCCTTTGTACATCAGAGCTGCTGACAACTCCCCCCACTTCCCTGTTTCCTCAGACTGCCCCAATCTTTTTTTTAAGCACAGATTACTGAGACGGTCGAGTCAAACGCTCTGGACCCTCTAGAAATCCCAACATCCCCAGTAAAGTGCAGTTACCTTTTGCCCTTTTTTTGGGGGGGGGGGACCTTCATACTGCTCTCTCTGTTACGAAGGTTTTCTGAAAAGTCTGTTAGGATCTGCCTTCCTATAAGATGAACCTTCTACTTCATGTCTTGCCCTCTGGACTGTAAAGAATACGCTTCAGCCATTATAGACCGAAGTACCATGTCCCCACTTCTCTTCCTCTGAACACTTCCCTTAGTCCCTGAACTTCCAGGCCCTTGGTCCTTCTCTTTGCCCTTCTGGGAACCAGACCAGTTTTCCCCTGAACGGAATCTGACACTATTACTTTCCACCCCAAAGGTGCTTTTTCAAGAGGCAACTGGACTTTCTTTGTTTTTCCTTGAAGACATTTCGCTTCTCATCCAAGAAGCTTCTTCAGTTGTAACTGAATGGCGGAGAATGGGAGGCTTTATACTCCTTGCAGTCATCTGGTCGCTAGCCCTCTTTGTGAGAGTCATTCAGGCTGTTTGGAGGTTTATCTGTGCTCTTGGACGAGAAGTGGAAGGTCTTCAGGGAAGAACCAAGGAAGTCCAGGGGCCTTTTGAAAAAGCACCTTTGGGGTGACTGAGAATCTCCATGGACATATTACTTTCCAAGCCTTGGGACTCTCCTTCGCCTGATGCAGCCTCAGATTACAGTTTACCTCCCTGCCATCCTTATCCCTCTGCTGACTCTGCCTCACCTTGCAGCCAACTGCACCTTCAAGATCTTTTTCACCTTTGCAATTGTTAATCCAAATATTCCCAACCTACATCTTGATGTTCAATTTATGTTTCTTAAGCAAAGTTTGCATTTATCTTTATTTCTACCTTTTAGGGTATTAGATGTTTGATTGATTGACTGACTTTATATTCAGCCCACCTCACTGTCGAGCGACCGGGAGGCTTGCAACATAAAAACTGAAATATAAAACATTAAAACATAGAAACCTAAGGCTATCCCACCCAGTTTTGTGATACCTATAAACAGATGAGAAACATCCTTCCCATTCTTCATTCAAACTATTAATGAAGTAGTTGAAGGATAGAGGGTGTTGCAGTTCTCTACTCAATGACGACTCCAGTTGCAGGAGGAACCATGGATAAGGATGGTTTTCAAGCCAGCTACGTGTCTACCCAGTTGTCCTGCCATATTTAATCGGTTTGCTAATCGGCATGCTATGGGGTACTTTGTCAAATGCTTTGCTGAAGACAAGATACTTTATCTCCATTGCATTCCCACAATCTGCTCAAAAAGTTGCCAGTTTGGCCTAATCACTTGACCATTGCAGCATCCTCTTGGTCACATGATCAAAATTCAGACACTTGGCAACTGACTTGTATTTATTGCAGTTGTGATTCACCTTTTGCCACCTTCTGACAAGCAAAGTCAACGGGGAAGCCAGATTCACTCAACAGCCATGTGAACTAAATTAACTGCAGAGATTCACTTAACAACTGTGGCAAGAAAGGTCGCAAAATGGGGCAAAACTCACTTAACAACTGTCTGTCTTAGCAACAGAATTTTATGTCTGTAAGCCGCCCAGAATTGCCTTATGGCAAGGTGGGCAGCCGATAAATTTTATAAATAAGTAAGTAAATATATAAACATTTGCAGGGATTATTGAGGCAAAGCTAAATATATGTGAGCAGTTGCACAGATCAATGTTCCTCAGCCACTTCAAGATGTGTGGATGCCAACAGGCAAGGCTGGCTGGGAAATTCTGAGAGTTGAAGTCTGCACATTTAAAAGTCATGTGGCCAGCATGATGTCACAGTGCAGTTACCTTCCCACGGAAGGGTTAACTATTTATCTATTTGCATTTGCGTGCTTTTGAACTGCTAGGTTGGCAGGAGCTGGGATGAGGACGGGAGCTCACCCCCTCGCATGGAGCTTGGGTCTTGAACCTTTCCAGCCGACAAGCCCAGATCTTAACCCCTGAGCCATTGCACTGCCTAGGAATAACTTGTTTTTATTTTTTTTTCCATTGGATGATATTCCTATATTTCATTCCTTCTGTCCACATATTAGCAACCCAGCATCTCTTATTTAAGGATATGCTAGCAACGTTTAATGTAGTTTAAATTGCACGGGGCCTGTCCTAACTGCTGTGTTTAATAACTATCATCTGTGTCCTCTTGACTAATAAATAGCTCTGTTTCCTACTGTCATAACCATGAGTGAAATGCATGTATTTCAGAGGAAGGGGGAGAGAAAGAGGGGAAATCAAATCCATCCTTTCCCAGACAATCAATCAAAATTGACAGGCCCTTTAACATACCATTTGTAGGGCGCTGTAGTTTTAAATGGGAACTGTCCGTAACACACAGCTCCAAGCCTTTGTGGCTTTAACATTTGCCAGAGCACTGCATCGGGTTGGAAAGGGGCAGCGAAATTCCGGGGGCGTTAAGGAAATGCAATTCTTCCTTTTGCTCCAGCTCATCGTGAAGCCTGTGAGGACAGCCTGACAATGGATCTGTGCACATAGCTAGGAAGAGCATCTTAATTTGTACCGTATCTGATCCTGATGTCCAGCTTCTCTTTTCCCACATGAAAACCAGAGAAGACTGTGTGGTAACACAGAATGCAGGCCATTGTTCTTTGGGGTGCTGAGCACATGGCCGCCCTATATTAAAACACCCAGCCTCCAGCTGATGTGTTAACCTGCCCACCCCCGTACAGTGTCACTAAAAAACATGTGAAGATGAAATGGTGTAAAAAGAAGGGGGCAGAAGAAACACACATACGCGCACACACATAGTGCAGTTACTGAAAGCTGGAGCAGGAGATTCTCTTTATGGCTTTCATTTTAATATCTTTTAAGATATAAATCACTTGAAGGTCTGATTTGTTCGTTTAAGAAAATGTGCTCCTACAGGTCCAGAGATCCCATTTTATCATCTCTGCTTAGAGTCCTGGGAGATGCCTTTTGATCATTTCTCTCCGCTAATTTTTGTATCGCTCTCGTTACAAAAAGAAAAGATTTCATTTTGAACAAATTTGTAAATGGTGCTGATGTATTCTACAATTTAGTCAATTACTGTTTCAGCTTGCAAGCCTCCTGGGAAAAGGAACATACATGGCCTGAAGGTAGGAATTTCAATAATTGTTTCCGTAAACGTAGATAGATTTGCAATGCTGTGTTCCACTTATTGAAATGTCAGATAAAACTGTATTTTCTCAGCCTTGACAAGCAGATTTTTTTTTTTACAAACTGCAGCAGAGGACAGATCCTCCCTGGGCATGAGCTCAGCTGGTCTACCTTGCGCCCTGAAAGGCACGGTCCCCTTCCTTCCTGGGTTCTGTGAATCCGTTTCTTAGGTCAGCCTTGAAGATGTGGGGGCGATAGCTTGTCCTGCTGTCCCCTTGCAGAAGATCTGCAGGAATGGTCCTCTTGGACCATCCCAACTACCCCTGAACAAAGACAAAAGGTGGCGTAAGAGCAGCTTTAAAATTGGGGTTACCTTTCCTTTGATCGACCCTTATGTGGCCAGTGTAATTGCCGTTAATGTGTTGAATTAGGAGTTCCATACGGCGCGCAGGATATGCCTCCATCTTTTCAGTGACATTAGAGAGAGGTAATTGATATATTCGTGCAAAAAGGTGATGGGCTGGGGAGGGAAGGAAGAGATGTATTTAATAGAGACGGAATGAAAGCCGTATTGTGTGCCAGCTCCTGATTGCATTACCTAACCAAGCATTTCAAATGCAGAGTGAATAAAAGAACATGATTCCTCAATAACACAATGTGGTAACCTACATACAGGCTGGATTTCTACCATCGGCAACTAGCTAATTAACCTTCCTAGTGAAATAGGAAATTCATGGCAAATTACAGGTTAATTAGAACCACGTCCTCTGAATAAAAACTACGGATAAAGATTCTTTTTCCCCCCCCGCAGGTAAATACGCGAGCCGGGTCTGCTAACAACAGCAGTGTGGCCATCACAGACTCCCTTCCAAGCCATAGGTAAGAGTGGGGGGGGGAGGGGAGATTAAGGCACAGCCCCAGAAGTGATTTTTGCATAGTAATTAACAGAAACAAACAGGGGGGGGGAAGGTGGGAATATTTGGGGGGGGTTTAGTTGAGTAGTTTTCAGCAAGGTTTTGGGTGAATCCAGCACTAACCTTGCCTGTTAGTCAACCTACTTTGGTATGGATTTCTTTACATGCCCTAAGAACATTTTGCATGCACTGCAGTGTACATCTCTCTTGTCACCCATTGTGCGCACGGCGTTGCGTTTTAGGAGAATTTCTCCAAGTGTGATTGAGCCAAACCGCTTGTGTTGGGTTGCAGCCTGAGTTATCAGGCACCCAGGTGGACAGGCGCAACATGGAAGGTTCTCAAACGTTGGTCCAGTTATAGATTCAGCAGGGAAATCTAAGCAGGTTTGGTCTGGTGGTGAAGGTGCCAGGCTAGAAGCCAGGAGGCTTTGAGTTCTAGTCCCACCTTGGGCAGGAAAGCCGGCTGAGTGACTCCTCCCTCTCAGCCCAACCCATCTCACGGGGTGGTTGTTGTGGAGAAAATAGGAGGAGAAAGGAATAGAGAAATGTCTGCTGCCGTAAATAACAAAGGCAGGAGATATATAAATATTATTGTAAATAAGTCACCGACTTTCTGTCTCAGTTTAAGGTCTGTAAAATGGGAACACTAGGGAGTTGCAAGTAACACGGGATAAAAATTATAAGTGCTGTGTAGACTTTCCTAAATTATCGTAAGAATGTTCCTTCTTGCAATATTATTTGTTAATGCAGACTTTGCTTCAAATCTGAGCTGATTACTCATACGTGTTTTTTGTGCTCAGTCCCTGGCTGGAAAATGAGGCATGATGGTTCTCATAATGGAAAGGAAGGACAAGAGGTGGGCTGACCTTGGCCCAGATGAAAGCAGGGCCTTTAGCCAAGGGAAAGGAAAGGGGCAGTGATGGGGAAAAGAGCAGAGTCAGGAAGGAGGCCGGGGTTCTCTGGTGTATTTTGCCAAGGAGGAGAAAACCTTTGCCCCTAAGCAGAGCCAAAATGGTCTCTGGCATTAAGAAGGGCTTCCATACAGTTGCACGCAGTCCCCTTCTCTATGGCCTAGGAGCACCATGGTGGCCTGCAGTGAAGTGCCAATGTGGAGTTCTGTATTTAAAAAAACCCTCTTCAGTTTATCATGAAGAGTCAGAATAATTTTCACATTGTACTTTCAGTGCAAAGATTGCATTGCCTGTCATTATTATACGTCTGATGTCTAAACTCAGATTGTAGGGCAAATTTCCCGTCCTTGCTTTATGGTCATTTATTTCCTCAGCTACACTCACTTGGAGCCGATTCTGCAAGTGCCCTCCAACAATGGCTTGAGTTGATGCTGTCATCTAATGGGGCAGTTAATTGGCTTTCATTTCCAAAAGCCATCTGCATAAGGAATGACTGTTTTGAAGTCATTGACAGCCTGCCTCTGTTTCATGTTCACAAAACAGCTAGTTGCAAGAGATGACAAGATCAGCGTACATTTCATTTGGCAAAGTACTTTTTCTTTAAAGTATTCTAGCAGAGAGGAGGCTTATTAAAGAACAAAGAAATTTCTTTTATTTCACTCAGGATCGATGATCAAGACACTTCGGCCTGTCAAGAACATAATCGTTCTTTTTAAGGGCTCTTTTTTCAGATGTAGTTTTCAGTGGCAGCAGTAAGAAATGGTTGTTAGTATTTAACTTTTATGGGCACAGCAGAAAATTTCCTTTTACATATTTGGATAAAATTAGTAGGGAGTACACAAAAGCACCCCCTTGCGTTCATGCACAACAACACTTGATTAAGATACGGTCCATGCAGAGGAACTCCTGCTGGATTGTGCTGTGGGACAGCTTTTCTCCCAGGTGCTCCTGGAGAAGCCCGTTCAGCTAAACTGGGCTGAAGCACACGGTCTTAAGCTAGGACGTCAGGCTCATCCTCTCAATAAATAGCAAACTGCAGCTATTCACAGGTTTTGGCCACAAAGGCAAGGATGAAGATCGTGTGGAGTTTTAATACTGTTTTATAATGCCTTGGTAAAACTGCACTTGGAATATTGCATCCAGTTTTGGTCGCCATGAGATAAAAAAAGATGTTGAGACTCTAGAAAGAGGTGTAGAGGAGAACAACAAAGTTGATTAGGGGACTGAAAGCTAAAACATAGGAGGAACTGTTGCAGGAATTGGGCATGTCTAGTTTAGCGAAAAGAAGGGCTGGGGGTGAAAGGGTAGCAGTGTTCCAATATTTGAGGGGCTGCCACAATGAAGAAGGGGGATCAATCAATTCTCCTAAGCACCAAAAGGCAAGACAAGAAACAATGAATGGAAATTAATCAAGGAGGGAAGCAATTTATAACTAAGGAGAAATTTACTAATAGTGAGAACAATTAACCAGTGGAACAGCTTGCCTCCAGAAGTTATGGGTGCTCCATCACTGGAGGCTTTTAAAAAGAGACTGGGCAGCCATTTGTCTGAAAAGGTATGGGATCTTCCGCTTGAGCAGGAGGTTGGACTAGAAGACCTCCAAGGTCCCTTCCAATTCTGTTATTCTACATGAGGACCTCGACCTTTGAACTGTCTGCAACATTCCCAGGTTCTTTTTGATTTTCTTGGTAAACCATTAACTTCCCCAAGGAAATTCATTTGTCACTATCAGAATTTTAAGGAGATTATAAATGAAACAAAATGTGTGTGCTTTACATACTTAATTCTGATTATATCAGTGCGTAGTTTACCACACTTGTAATCGTAGGCAAATGTTCCAATTAGCAATGAGATGCTCTTTAGCAAAGGACAAGTTGTAGCTCCACTCTATAAAGTGCAGATGGACAATGACTTAAGACACCTTTCTTTTTCTTATTTCTTTCTCTTTTTACCTTTGTTCTGCCCAATGCTGCAGTTTGAAGAAGTCCTCTGCTGAGCTGAAGAAAATATTAGCAAATGGCCAGGTAGGTATATTGGTGTGGGGCTGGCTGCAGGTGCGATAGATGCCTGCCTGAATTCAGACATGCCTTGTGTGCTCAAATCACCCGAGAGATGTTTACTGCTCACTTACTGGTAATGTGTTCTTTTAATAAAGTAGAGGCGAAGGCAGGCACAGAGCTTGCGTGGTGGAGGAACCCCTGTCCTGATTGATTTGGATTGGCACGCCAATTTACTTCCCCTTTTTCAAAATGCACTAATCGGATTTAGCTCCAAATAGATTGAAGTGCCTTTCACACCCGCCACTCGGTTGCCTCAATTTAGGGGAGAAAACGTAATCAATTTTGAATAGCAAAACAGGGTTTCTGCTTTGCTAGCTGTTTGCTAGCTGCCACCCAGGAGTGAGTAGGAAAGGGGTCACTGGAGGGGAGCGTCCCTGGAAGCTCTGCGGAAGGGGAACATCATAAAAACTGCTCCCACGTCTGCAGGGAAGGCGACGGGCGAGAGAAGAGCCCGGCCAGCCCTTCCCGGCCACTTTGATTCAAACAGGAAGTCCCAAAGTCGCATCGTGGCTTTAAATATACCCACGAAATAAAAATACCTCAAGGCTGCGGGATTCTTCACTAGCCACATAAATAAGTTTTAATGTTTGTCATGGTGAAACCCTTTGATAGCCTTGGAGGCAGCCCCTGTCCACGCCGATCAAGCCTGCCTATTAGACGCTATTGACTGAGACATCTGTGTCACTGCAAATAAAAGACTCTTATTGATTTTCTTAACTGCTGTTCACTTCCCTTCCGAGTTTCGAAGGCTGAAATCTTAATTATCTCAGATGCGTATTCAATGCCTTCACACAGTGACCTCCCCAAGCCTCCTTGGCATTTCATGAATCAAGCAGTGGTAGTTGAGCATGTCAAGAAGACAAAAGCTGGTCTTCACGCGTGTCCTTCAGCGGATCACCTGTAAGGCTGCTCTCTTAATAGATGAGGGGGGTCCTGCCTGCCTTGCTCCACTTCAGGCTTACTTATTTGCAGTCAGAAGCGTTTAAATAAAACTTAAGAATATGGATTTTGGCTCTTCTTTTTTAAGCATAGTCTTACCTGAAAGAGAGACACAGAATATGTTTAAACCCTTTGTGCTGCTGCTTTTAGTTTTGTTCCCTGCATTTTATTTAATCTTCAACAGCTGCTTGTCTGTAATAAAGGTAATATTTCAAGGGTAGAGAAGGGAATGAACTATTATTAGACCTTTTTTGAAAGCCTCATCTTGAAAAATGATGGGTTTTCAGTATCCTTAAGTGAGGTAAGGAGGTTTTTAGTTAGGAAGGAAAATGCTTTTTGGAGGAGGGTTTGGGATGCCTATTATGACTGAAGCATACTGAAGATTTACTTAAGATGGGAGATGGATTTAATTTTCAAATTGTGCAGGGCTTCAAGTCGCATTCTTTTCGTGTTACTGAATGCTTGGCCTAAAAAAATGAACAAAGAGCTGGCTTTTTAATTTAAAAAATGCATTAAGTACAGGTAGTCCTTGACTTATGACCACAATTTAGCCCAAATTTTCTGTTGCTAAGTGAGACATTTCTTAAGTGAGTTATGCCCATTTTACAACCTTTCTTGCCACAGTTGTTAAGTGAATCACGACTGTTAAGTGACTCCCCCCATTGACTTTGCTTGTCAGAAGGTCGCAAAAGGGGATCGCGTCACCCCAGGATAATGCCACCGTCATAAATACGAGTCAGTTGCCAAGTGTCTGAATTTTGATCACGTGACCATGGGAATGCTATAACGGTCATAAGTGTGAAACACAGCCATAAGTCCCTTTTTCATTGCTGTTGTAACTTTGAACGGTCACTAAGCGAACTGTTGTAGATTGAGGACTCTCTGTAGCCGCTCTGAAAGCCTTCCGGGGTGTGTTTCTGAGGCTCCCAGTCATTTGGGTGAATGGTGATCCCTAAGGACCCCTGGGAACCCCCAGGTTGGAGCCCAGATTGGGAAGGCAGGCCGCCCTCTGGCAGAAGAAGCGCTGGGAGGGAGCCCCATGGTCTTGTCCAAGGAGCCCCCGGGAGCAGAGCTCCGGCTGAAAGCAGAAGGCCGAGAGGGGCTGGCGTCCACACCTCCCCCGTCCCCATTGAGAGGACTGGTACCAGGGATCGATCGATCTATCTGGTGCCAGGAATGAACTTGGCTTTGAATTATGAGGGATGGACGCATCTGGACCTGATCCAGGCTGGTCCTATCTTGCTCCACTGATGTTGGTGAGAACCTGCCTAACATAGGCGGACCAGTGGAGGAGAGGGTTAAATTGTGAGGTGCCCTAAGAGCTCTGCTGTGCTGATTTTCAGATGGGTGGACTTCAGCTCCCAGAATTCCCCAGCCAGCCATGCTGGGAGTCGAAGTCCACCCACCTGAAAATTGCCAAGGTAGAGAAACATTGTCTCCGAGAGCGCGGCCTCCTGCCTTCTGCTTTGAAGCATTAATGAAGACTTTAGTTGCCCGAAAGCCTCCACTTAGGTTTAATAAGGAATTCATATCAATCATTAACAGAAAGGGGACATGATTCTTCAAGATAATCAAATATTGACAGGCTAGAAATAGCTTTCTGCCGAGGTTCATTGACATAGGTTATGCGGTATACATATTTATTTCTTTTCTGTCACTCAGAGAAAATGCCGCCAATTGATTGAGCATTGACGTAGTGTCAACAGTTCATAAGAAACATTGGACTGGCTCATGTTTTCCGATTAGTCCCTGCTCCATGAAGTGGGATTTACTAAATCTCTTCAATTGTCTGTTCATGGACCGTGGCTGCTTTCTGAAGCCATTAGGACTTTGATTGGTTCAGGGGAGGGAGCCCGTACAGGGCGAGGCTCCTGCCGTAGCCGGATATATCAAATAAGGATTAATTGAGCATTTTTTCTAATGATTTACAAGAGATGCCTGCTGATTCTTTCCAAGACAGCAGATATAAACAAAGACTATTTTATTTGCTGATCCATAATTGGATACTATTTCACTTTTGGTTCATTCTGTTAATATCAGCAGCCGATCAAGATTGCATAAGAAAAAATAATGTACTGGTGCTTGCTGCAAAGTTGGTAGTTATTAGGATTTGATTGATGCCTTCAGATTCTCAAACACAATAAATAAATTGCTAGGAATCCTTGACATTTCTCGCTGGGTTTATGAAGTTTTCTTATTTATTTAGTGCGGCTTTAACCTGCCTTTCAGGCAATTATAATCTCCCAAAATGGCTCTAAACAATTAAGAAAAGAGAGAGAAGCTTTATTCCCAAGTTCACAATCTCGGATTTCAAACATACAGAGCTCTAGTGCTTTGCTGAGATATGGGAGCTTTCTACTTCTGGTGACCGTCAAACCCAGCCATGGTCAGCTTGAAGACGCGTTCACTTTGGAGTTGAATTGGCACATCCCAGAATTGAGCCAGGGCACATCTGGAGTAGGTTATTCTAGAGACTATGGTTCCATTGCCTTCCTTCTTTTCTCTTTTGCTTCTGAGTCAATAAATGCGCCCACACAGACCATCCCTCATGGCTGCCCCTGCGAGGGTGGGCAACATTATGCAGAAGGCAGAAAAGGCGTCAGAAATGGGAAACAAATTAAAGGGGAGGGAGGGAGGAAGGGAGTTACTAGTTTATGTCAGCACCACTCACTCTGTCTTCCCATATTATTATTTCCTTGAAGCATGCTTCCTTCCACAATGTGCACATTCTGCTTTTTCTTCTTTAAATCTTTCACATTTCTTTTTGAGGAACACATGAACTCCATTCAATCACAACTTTCACCTTTATCCTTCCCCCTCATTCCATTCTTTCTTTGTTCATTTGTTTTGTAGTTTGATCTTTGTTCTTTCTTTACCAGTGTTTGTCAACCTTGGCATCTTTAAGATATGTGGCTTCAACTCCCGGAATTTCCCAACCAACCGTGTTGGTTGGGGAATTCTGGAAGTTGAAGCTCACGCCTTAAAGTTGCCAAGGCTGACAAACACTGTGCTACACAATCAGATCTTATCAACCAATTTCTCTTAAAGGCTGCTCGCTCTCCTAGGAGAGTCCGTATGGTTTCAGCCTTGTTCATTCTCCACTGCACTGCATCTTGGTTTATGCAGACACATTTTAAGTATCCCATTCCCACTGTATTTAACTTCATGTTTTCCAGAATTCTCACTTCCATATAATAAAGCCAGCAGAAATGTGGTCTCATTTTTGCTTCTTTCGATGCTCAGTTCACTTCCTCACCACTGACTACATAATTTACTACCTTTCCATTAGCATTGGCATAAACCAAAATTTCTTTTCCCCCTTTTTAATAAGCATTCTACATTGCTAAACCAATTCATGTACTTTTTTTTAGTTTTTGGTCATTTGTAAAATAAATATTTTGTAAAATGTGTTAGTGATGATGGCGGAGCTGTTGGTCTTTACTTCTTGGCCTGTTTTCATGAAAGGAGAAAAATCTTTTAAAGAATAACCCACATTGTATGAACATTTGTTTTGATTCATGAGTGTCCATTATCTATTAATTAATTTCCATACAGTAAGTTCACTGCAACAAACTAAATATGCCAAATAAATGGCTGTTTTTGTGGCATTGCGCATCTAACAATCACAGATTGCCCAAGTTTTAGACCTGAAAAAAATATTTCCCTGGATATATACGTAATCATTGCATTGAAGGCATTTTAAGATAGGTCTTTAAAGTAGCCTTTCCAATAGATTATTTTTATCATGGTTCTGGCATGTGAATTATTTCTCACATCATATTTCTACAGCAGCCTTTTCTTACTCAGGAGAATTCATAGAGGAGCGTTTTGTTTTTCATGACGTGGCTTTGCTCCTTTATATTCGCCTGAGGCCCGATTGCCAGATTGGCCCATGATCACCTCCTGCACGTAATTCAAGGTGCTAATTTTGACCTTCGGGTTCTTGTAGTTGGGCTGGTGGCCGATCTGTCCCCGGGCTCTGCACCTGGGAAAGGCAGGTGCTACGCAGCAAGAGCGCCCGGGAACTGCACATTGAGCGCTCGCCTGCAAAGGGGGTGGCCTGTGCCACGTGGGTCAGCCCTCCGCCCTTCCTGGCCACTTGAGCAGGGCGTTGTTGTGGCTCTTTTCTGGCTTTGGAGCAGGTTTCAGGAAGTCCTCTGCGGCTGCCTGCAGGTCGGCGCCCGGGTGGAGGGCCTGCCCAGCCCCCTCCTGGCCCAGGCCTTGGCCATGCTCTGAGCTCCAGTGCCTTCCGCTCCCCTCCAGGTCGGTGCCCGGCGCCTCTTGAGCTATGTTATCATTCCATTTTGACACCTTTTATCAAACTTTAATGAAATGACCCAGGCAAACAAATTGTCATTAAACTTTCCATCACTTTGTCCCCTGGTATTGTCTTTTATAAATTGGACAGCAAATGTTGTATTGATCTCCTCGTTCTTGCAGCTGAACTTGAAATGACCCAGACGGCGGGTTGTTTATGGCCGAGAGTGGCTTCTCCTTGACACTTGCATCCCCAGCCTGACATCTCTTTTGTTTTTCTTTCTTCCTGGTGGAGATGAATGAACAAGACATACGGTATCGAGACATCCTTGGCCACGGCAACGGAGGCACCGTTTATAAGTGAGTGTCCCTCGCCCCCTTCCCCCTTCACTCCAACTTTGGGGAAAAGGAAAGGCAGAGACATTTTCCTTTCTCCAAAATTATGTCACAAGGTGGCTGGCCTTTTCCCCCCTCTATGAAAAGCTGGTGATCTTTAATGTTTGCTGGAGCTGCCTCCATAACTAAATCATATCTAGAAAAGTAGATTTTCATACACCTTTTTGGTTGAGGGTATCTGACTCTTAAATAAATCTTAGTGAAGGATCAAAAAAAGTTGCCATTGTGGACTAAAATTGCTGTTTCCAAATTGATAAAACTTTTTATTTTAAATGAAGGTGAAATACCCTTTTCCTAGGATTTTTGTATACATTTAGACCAAAATTTATAACAGGGTTACAGGCTCCCTTGCAACCAGCAAAGATTGCAATGATCAATATTTTCAGAAGGTAAAAATACTTTCTAAATGATAATACTGTATGGAAAATACGATAATAGCCATGTAAGACGCAATCCATCTGTGGACTACTTTGCCAGAAATAATTGTAATGGCTATTAGCAAAGATTATGTGCAAACATGGAGAATAATTCTGTTATCTGATACCAGAAAAAGACAATGCTGTTTTGATGCACCACAATTTGTGCTTAAGAGTGCATGCCAACATGATAGCGTAATTGTAGCTTTTCTCTTGGTTTTTATTGGTAGACGGATTGTTGAGGTAGATGAATAATTGGTTTAGTCCAACATTACGTTATTAGGCACCCCGCCCTCACGCAGTGGATCGCTTGGGCTCCTTTCAGCCACATAGGACTGACACTTATTAACTCGTAAGCCATTTCTGGTTTGTGGACGTTACACAAGCTTTGCAAACATCCTCCTTTAAGTTTCCAGATGTTCTTCAAGAGCAGCCCCAGATGAAGCACACTGGAGTAGTCTAATACAATATTACGAAAGCATAAAAAACCCTAGTTAGGATAATTGACTCATGAAGACTCACAGGTGATATATGAACCATAATGTGCGAATATGCTGCCTGCCACAACTGCCCTGTGGAAGCTAGGAACTGTGCAGGATCAAAGAACATTCACAAGCTGCAAACCTTAGGACCTCCTTCAAGCTGAGGTAGAATCCCGATATCTGATCCTGATTTCCCATTGATCAAGAAACAGCCCCTTTGTCTTGTCCAGATTTAATTTCAGCTTGTTCACCTTCGTCTGGGCCATTAGCAAAGCCAGGCAACGTTCCGCTGTATCGACAGCTTCCTTGGAATTAGATGACAAAGACTAATTGTGGTGGATCTGCATGAGCTTCCTTTGCCATTATGGGAATTGCAACAGCCTTTTGAGAATCCTGCCATTTATGCAAGTAAATTAATATCCTGGGAAGTTTGTTCTTAATGAAGTTGTTATGGATTATCTGATTCAGCTTTGGCAATGGAATGTAAGATGCTGCCTTTCTTCCGATTAGATGCTAAAAGCGGTTGATAAAGTTCATATAACTACACACTATTGTTCTTTTCGGGAGCTGTCTCATTCCAACAGGACATTTCTCCGGTTAGTCACTAAGGATCTGGATTTCCAGTTTTTCGATTGAAACTGCTAGGTCTACTCCCTCCAAAGGCATTTGCCCTCTTGTCCTTGGCTTGACCCGTCACAATGCAAGTCCATTGGCAGGTGGGAGAAACTTTCCAGAGAGGAAAGAGAGGAATTAGGGGCATGACACAGATCCTTAGAAGACTGCAGTAGGACGTGGAACATATGTACAGCAGTGGCCTCAAAACTGGATGAAGTAAAATTCCCTCAGAAACGACCTTGGGGGAATGGTGATCAAGATTTCTTCCAGAGACAGATGGTTTCAGCACACAAGACACTTTTTAAGGTTGTGTCATTTTCTTTTTGTCTGTTGAAATTCTCGGTCATCCAGGCCATGGTTGTCCCAAGGGTGCTTTTTCAAAAGGTGACTAGACTTTCTTTGTTTTTCCTTGAAGAAAAACTGAACTGAAGAAACTTCTTGGATGAGAAGCAAGGAAAAACAAAGGAAGTCCAGTTGCCTTTTGAAAAAGCAGCTTTGGGTCGTTTTCTTTTCTTTTATAATTTGAGAAAAAACACTTTCATTGGCTTATGTTGGCCATCACATTTTTCATGAAATTATCCAGTTTTTGTAAGCCTCCACTGGCATGGCAACCTCAAGCTGGTACAAATCTGGAACCCTTAGATCAGGCATGTGAGTTAATGTGGGCCTTTCCGGGCCGAGAAAGCAAAACAAGTCCCGGCTCTTAGGGGTAGCTTTGGCTAACTGGTCAGAAGTCATGAGCTGACCCTCCAGCTTCCAGGGTGCATCGATGGGCTCCTCTTGTCGTTTCCATTGTCCCCCTCAGCGCACATGTAATGCAAATAACTGGAAACAATTGCGCTCTTGCTACGTTCACGGCACACATGAGGAGAAACCCTCTCTGTTGCAGGCAAAGCCCAGTTGAAGCCCTGCGCACAGGTAGCTTGGTTTTGGTCAGCAGCCACCGCAGCTGTGGTCCTTCACTGGAGGGAACCCATGATTGTTTTGTCAAATCAATTAATTATAACTGCTCCTGATGACACATTTTGTATTTTTTGACCACCAGCATCCCACATCTGGGCTTTTTTTTTTTTTGAAAGGTGTGCAGCGTGTATTGATTTGTAACTGAAGAATGTGTGTTTGTCTGCCTCCTCCTAAACCCTGCACTGAGTCATATCCATTATGGCAATGAAATATGACCCGCGTTCAGCAAACAAGGAGGCAGTCTCAGGTCGCTGAGCAGAAACATTCAGTTTCTGTTTCCAGGTGAACTAACTATTATTGAAATAGTTTATGGAGATTGAGATATTGATCACTTTCATGCTAACCATAGCTTAAGGGAAGTGCAGCAAGTGTGGGGAGGGGGCTGGGCTCCTTGGATGACACCCTATCATGGAGTTCTGCCTATCCGTCTCTCTCTCTCTTTGTGTGTAAGGGTTTACTGCCTCTGTAGGTTTATTGCTCGAAGAGAAGGTTAGCTTGGCTTCATTTTTATGACAATATAATTATACTTCAGAAATGCACTTGATTACTCTGTGCAGCAAAATTGTTCCAGTGGATTGCTTGGGCCAATATTGCTATACAAACAACTTTTCAGTCAATTGAGTTGAGTAAAAAAATCAATATTTCTGTAGCGATATTTCTGAGGAGAACTTGCTGAATCCATTTTTTTTTGTCCTTCTGTTTGTTTAAAGAAAAGGTGGTAAATAGCTTTTATTTTCGTGTTTAGCTTATTTTTGCATTTTCCTAACTGAGGGACGATGCGCCTTTTGAAGCTAGCAGCCAGGGAAGAACCAAGGAGGGGCCCCCCCTGGCCAGCAGGGGAGAAGGCCGCCTCCTTCCCCAAGGCCTTCCAACTCATCTTGCCAGAGGCCGCTCTCTTGGCAGCCTCGAAAGAGCCCGAGAGCTTCCGGCGTTTGGCCCTGGGCGCTTGGATGGAGCCTCGAAGGTAGAGAAGAGATCACCCCTGTTTTGGAGAGGCTCGGCTCGGCTCCTGCCCCGGCAGGGATAAACTCTTACATTCTTTATTGAACGCCTCAGGTTTAGGGAGAGAAAAAATACAGTTTTGAGATGATCATGTGCTTGATCGTAAGAGAAAAGAGAGTCACTTTAAATTATGTAGTTTAATCATTGATGTACTACTTAATTAATGTACGGTAGTTTGCGTGTCACGGTTAATATAAATTTTATGTATTTTCTGCTACATTTCTGTATGGTTCTCGCTGGAGAAGACTAGTAACCAATGAGTTTGATGGTCTCTTTTCTCTTATGGTCAAGCACATGAGCATCTGAAAATTACATTTTTTTCTCTCCCTAAACCTGAGGAGTTCAATAAAGAACGTAAGAGTTTATCCCTGCCGGGGCAGGAGCTGGGCCTCGCATCCCTGGGCTTCCAGCCTCCTGCCTCCAGCACCTTCGGCCGGCCATCCTCTTCCTCCCTCCCTTATTTCCCAGAAGTTCCCCCTGGAATTCTGCGCAGGAGAGGCTAAATTCCCACCGTTGCTTACAGTTGCCAGGAATGGTCTGCTGATCGCAGCTGAGTTGTTTCTAGGGGTGAAACCAGGGTAGTTAGGCTACATACAAATTTATTACTCCACCTAATTTAAACTAGGTATTGTAATTTTTTTCTACCCTTCAGATATTTTCGAAAATCAGGTATGATGGAAAGTGCAGACTCTTGTGTATACACTGGAAAGTATTTGTATACTGCCGCATCCAGGGTATTTACTTAAATTGCTTTTTTGGAAAATAATTCATGGGAAAGGCCAAACACAGCACTAGGTTTGCTTTCTTCCACATTTTTAAACTAAGGGTGATTTACACAGCTCTAAGACATTTTTTTTTCAAAATTGCTTCCTGGGTTCCTTGAAATATGCTAACGGTGTGATTTATAGGGCAGTGTCCCCTTTTTAAAATTCGTACAGAGGAAAAACAGCCTTATATTGTTTATAACAAAGACACTTTATTGGTATTATTTGAAACTTGTCAGTGGTAAATAACACCTAGCATTTCTCATATTTTGTGAACTCTTCTGAATATTTTTCTCTGCAAAATCATGTAGCATTTTAACCTTGGTAATTTGGCCCAGATTTCAGAATTGCCCTGCTAAGTCCAGCCCTGCTGTCCATCAGCAGCTCGTCCGCCGTCTCTGGGACATTCCTAAGCAGGACACAGGCACACATGACCTCCTGGCCCCTGGGATCCAGTGGCGGTCTCAGCACCAGCAGAAGTATTTTCTGAGGCTTTCTGCAAGAGTGGAGAATCAGAATGCATAATACTCAACCTAGCCAAATAGGGACGGTGGCCCAAAACAGCACATCCCCATGAACACTTGCTGAAGTCTTCAAGTAGAAAGTGTGTGCGATTGTGTGTATGTTTGTGCATCAGATGAAAGTGACACTACACATTTACCGTGGACAGGATTAATTGATGGAGTGTCTTTAAGCGGCAGGGCGCCTTCTGGTTTGGCCTC